TAGTAACTATTATTAAAAATATCAATACTAATATTTGATATTAAGATATTAGATATTGAGTATTAGATATTAGTAACTTCTATAGTTAACCTCAAGCTAAATGAGCTGCTTGCATTAACAAAAGAGGCAGTTATGCGAACAGAAGCCACTCCAGCTTTAATTCAATAACAACATCCGAGAATCGAAGGACGAAAAAGAACCCAAGTCGTTTCGTGGTCTACTTCGACTAATCCTTCACTTCAGTGGGGCCACTTGTTGGACAATGCGCTGTCCCAACGTTCCACCATATATATATATAACTTCTATAGTTATTAAAAAATAATTATAGTAAGTATAATATCACACATCGCATATAAAGTATGAGTGCTAATCCATCATACATTTTTGTTGCATTTTTAAAAAAAATACATTCATATATATATTTATATATACATTTTTATGCGATTATATTTATTTAACAGCAACAACCATAAAATAACAGAACTTTTTAAAATTTTAATTTTTATTCCTTTTTTATTTTATTGCTTCAGAATTATTGCAATTTCAAAGATATCTTCCCTAACTGCATGCTTAATGTAGCGCTTTAAACTTCCCTTCGATTCAAGAGTGAACTGCTGCTATAATTTATTTTATATCATTTTTAAAGCAATATGAAGACTGTGGAAACTTCGACCCTTTCAATTCCTTAAAGTTATTATACAAATTCCATTACAACTCTTTTAAGTGTAATTTTCCTTAGTCCTGGTTTTATGACGCAGCGGGAGTCTTTCAACTCGCTTAATGGGGTGAATAATAAAATTAAGATAAAAAATTCAACATATGTCGAAGGATTTTAATGATACGAATTTAAATGTTAAGATAGGAGGATAAGAGAATTTAAATTTAAATTTTGAATTTTGGATTTTGATCCTGAGCCTCAGCCTGTGTATTGATTCTGATTAAGTTAAAATATTAATAAAAATTGTTTATATTACAAAAGAATTTTTCTAGTACTTGAAGAGTATATGCTATTTTCCGTTGAATGCAAATAATAAGTATAATAAACATCTGTACATACATTTTGCAAGTACTTCACGTTGTGTGGGTTTACCCTAATCCAACGTATTCACTTTCCCTTATTGCTATTTCAAGGCATAAACCCCCACTTTTAACTCTCACGTATTTTTGTCCTATTAAATTTCTTCCATATTCTTACATTTGTTTCTTTCCTTGATAGAAGAAATATTACATAAAAACACTTCCCCGCGCGGTATCTCAAGGAATCACTTTAAAGACGTAGTAACATATAAGGACAACATATAAAACTTTATATGTCCTTGTGTTTAGCTTCTTAACTTTTGGGATTAAAAATGTGTTCCTTCTTGAAAAACTTTAAACTTTACTTTAAAGTTTTTTAGGGTTAATGTGATATGTAAAGTAACATTTTGAAGTGCACAACTGTTGTGTTTTCTGTATAAAATTTTTCCATGCAATTACATTTTGTATTAATTTTGATTAGATATGTGACGAATAATACGATGAAAGAAAAATTTAAACTGATTAGATAAAAATTATATATCATTAAATTTTAATAATAAATTTAAGTTCAATAACTCAATATATGGGTCATTCTTTTACAAATCGGTCAGCTTTTTGATCTCATCAGCTCCGATTTGGCTGAAATTTTGTTTGTATTCTATGAAACACAAACAAAGCTGATGTTGATGAGTAGCCAACATCTTTCGAAAAAAAAAAAAATTTAATCATTGCACAATTGTTGTTTGAATGCAACCCTTAACGATCTTATAAATCTATCCATCCACCCTAAGGACTACTCTGTTGGAATCTGTTCACACAAAACATCAACAGCTTAAATTTAGATTTGACATAATACTTTTGACGTATTTGACAGTTTATATTTTTACCAATATCTGTAATATTAATAACATGGTATTAACATGTCTAAGCTTCCAAGGTATATTAGATCAACAGACATACATAGAGATCTTAGGATTGACTCAGTGAGAAAATATATCAGAGACAGCTCTAAAATTATTCACTAAAGTTGATACGCTACTTAACCCCGCCCTAACAATCCTCAAGTCCACTTCTGGATTCTCAGGAAGATATGCTGATTTAAGGTCCGTCATCAACTAAAAAACAAATAAATTATATGACTTCTTAGCCTAGTTAAAGCCTAGAGGGGAGTAGTGATAAGCCCCCCAGCCATTATAGAGTAAAAGTGCGTAATAGCACTAACTCCAGAAAAAGAATCAAGATTAATAACAAGTTTCATAATTTTATCAGATGAATATTTATAAAAATATAAACTTTTAATTATTTTATTTTTAAGAAGTCATTACACCAAACTTGGTGGAAAGTATTTTTTATTAACATTTTTTCCAGGTTTTCGAATACTGCATTGATTATCCGTACTTTTAGTCTCCTTCCAATTGTAGGAAACTAAATAAGACTACAATTAACAACTAAAAATAACTATAATTAATTAATTCAATGATTCTACAGCTGGTTTGTGATATCGTTCTTATTTAGCACAACAAGTAAATTTGTTAATGGACTTTCACAGCAAATTAATAAAACTCCAAGTTTGAAGATACAAGCCAAGTACGGCTTTGGGTCAGTTGGTTAATAAACTCTGACTCTAAGCTTGAAATCTGGCAGGGTGCGCATTCAACCCTTGATACTTGCAGCCTCAAAAAATTATTAACGAATAATTAAATTTAAAAATATTTGGCAATACTCGATATAGCTGTATGGTGTCTCAAGAATTTAATTAATTAATATTTAATAAAACAAAAAAAAATGTAATTCAGTACTGTCCAAAATACGTCTCTATAAAAATAATGGATTCTATAAAGAAGCATGGGTTTTTCTATCATAATTAAATCAATATGTTTTGAATCATTTTGTGTTATAAAAACTGTTTTTTTTTTGGAAATAAAATAAAGCAAAATTGTTATAATATTTTAAATCTAAATAAATTTCTTTATTAGCAATTTTAGCTGCAATATTATATAAAAATATGTTTCGAAGGCTTTAAAAATTAATGTACTGAAATCGCTTAAAGTAAAACTATTGCATGGACATTTTTACCCCAATGGAGATTGTATTTCAAAGTGCAGTTAAAACTAACAACATAAAACTATGCAAAGACCCATAAAAACTGTCTGAGTGTTTGGATTACTGTCATTACGTTTCTTACCGCTTCTGTGACAAACTATCAACAAATCACCCCAAATATATGAACACCAAACCTGCGATAGTCAAACAACACAAAGCGGAATATTTTTCCATTTTGTGTACAATTCCCAACAATATTATGACCACTGCAACGCTTTAGTTTATATTATAAGTTATATACAGGGAGTTTTCTCCCCAACTCCCTCTTCTTTTTACATACATTTATGTTCGCAACACCCACTATAGTTTTGATTTAATGCGATTATCACATGAACTTCTTAGCAACCAACAATTTATATGTTGCATGACAGTAAACAATGTGATAAGGAAACAAAGCAAATGCAACATGGAGTGGCATTAATTGGTCTAAACATGTTGCTTTATTGCGACCAACTTTGAGTTACACGGAGTAATCAAAACATCAAAAGTCCTGCGCTACTTGGAATAGTCAAGGCTGGGGACTGTGTGTTGAAAGTACAAATAATTTGTTAAATTAAAGAAATTTAAGGATTCAGTTGTTTTATATCATTTGTTCCTTCGGGATGAATACTATATATTTCAATACATAAATATATATATAGAAATGTTTATCTTCTGCACTCAGAAATGAAAACTATAAATTTATCAATAATAATATAAGTTTTTTAATGTGCTTTACGATTACGGTTATACTATACAGAAGCTAAAATTTGCTCAAAGTCAGGTTCTCCGAAGACTCTTCAAGTGTCATGGTTTATCCGCACGAATGATACGCTAACAAACCACAGAATAGACCCGGTCAAAAAATACATAAGGCACATAGCACTGAAACTATACGCGAAAACTAACAGACTGTCCTACATACCACTATCTAATCTCAGAGCACCCACTAGCCATATGGGGCGGTATGCAGATCTTAAATCAATCATCGAATAATCAGCGAAGCTTGTGAGGAATATATAAATTAGTCCAAGACAAGGGTGGGACTCTGTAGAAACCCCCCAGCCAAGAAAGAGTAAAAGTGCCCAGTTGCACTAACTCGGAAAAATCTTAACATAAGACTATTACGCATTAATACTTCAGTATTTTGTTAAAAAAAATCCTCTAAATATATTAATTTCCCTTAGCATAACTTTCGAGACGATATAATTTAAAAAACCCTCAACCAACTTTATTCTGAACTTAAAGTTACCAGAAGAATGCTTCATCAGAATAAATTCAGAATGAATTATTTAAATTTAAATACTGCAAACGATAATGCAGCATACAAAACCACTAACCTAATGCCCCGCCAAATGCGGTGCCTGCACTCATAACCGTACAACCCTACAGCGAGCGCAACCTGCACTCATAATCACTTGCAAATCGAAATCTGTGCAACGTGGATGCGTTGTGAGTTGAATAGTCCTTTCCGTCAGCAAATACCTATTAATAAATAATGAGCCTCGTGTTGAAACGTTAAACAAAATAGGAAAAAAAAAGATTGAATAAAAAATAAAAAGCAAAGCAGCTAGAGTACAATGACTCGTCACGTCACATTTCAACGGTGACGTTATTGATTGAAACTTATTATAACATTGTGGGCCCACAGAAATGATGTAGGCTCAACTTATTATTAGCAGGCTTAATGCACAGCATGTAACCGTTGGTCATATCAGATACTCGTACAGAAGGCGCGTACAGGAGAACTCTTAAGTTCAATATACTTATTTCAACTACGAACAAAAGTGGCTTTTACACAACTGTGCTGGATACGTGGATATTATTCCAATTCTTTAGTGCACACCTACACCAACTACTGTGCAATTTTATTTTAAAATAATTTTAATATAAAAAATTACCTTTTTTCTGGCATTCCAGCTTTATCAGTCTCCGTTGTTTCGATAATGGATTTACGCATTGGCGGACTGCTGACCAATGGTGGACTATAAACCCTAGGTGGGCTGGTGACTATTGGTGGGCTATGCATAACCGGTGGACTTTTGACTGGGGGTGGGCTACGCATCATTGGTGGTGTGGGCATTATTGGTGCACCGTCTCCTTCCGGTGGACTTTGCATACGTGCAGATAGAGGTGGACTCCTGACAATTGGTGGAATGCTATGTTTTGAATGTTGTGATTTGATTGATTGTTGGCTACGTAATGATTTTATCGAAGCTTGTGGCGATGTCACAACGCCTTGTTGCACACCTGAAGCAATAGATGCTGCTGCTGAGGCTACTGAACCGGCTGCAATACTACCAGCACGTGAACCGATACTCCCGCGTACACTGCCACTGCGACTTGATTTGCGGCTACCACTGCGACTACCGCTGCGACTGACGCTGCGACTAGCTGCATGACTAGTTGCACCACCAATGCTGCCGCTACGTTTAAGTGAGCCTGAAGCAATTGATGTTGTTTGTTGTGTAGGTGTGCCTGGTTCTTCGGCCTCCTCATCAATAGGTATGTCACGCGTGATTTGATCTTCTGTCACAACATCATCTGGTTGCTGCTCTGAAATTGGTGTTTTTTCTCCAGAAGCTTCTTCATCCATTTCAGGCTCATCTTCTAAGCCTGGCGGTGGTGGTATATCAGCTAAAACAAGTCCAGCATCTTTTTCTAATTCACCTAAATGCTCACTGGTTGGTGCAAGTATAGAAGAACCTGAATAACCATTGCTGGGTGGTGTTGTGATAGTAGTTGATTCATCATCATTTAAAGATTTATTTTCGTCAGGCATTTGATAAGGGGCAGGTGGCACAAAATCTGCTGTTGCCTCTACCGCAGCTGCCAATACAGCAGCAATCATTTCATTAGTTTCATCATAAAGTGGTGGTGGGCTTGGTGCACTCAATTCAGCGCTTATGCTTTTCGGTGAAATTGGTTGCGGCGGTGTGTCATGATGTGGTGGTAATGGTGGTGGAGAGTTTGGTTGCGATTGATCACTTTCTGAAGGTGGTGTTGTTGGCACATGTGTTGGCGGCACATAAGCAACTGGTGGTGAGGTAAATTTTGTTAAAACAGGTGGCGTAATTGGTGGTGATGGCGAAGTTGAAGGTGATTTTGTGATCGATGGTGAAAGAGGTGCTGTACTGGCTATAGGTGAAACATGTGGTCCACCACTACCGTGTATGTAAGACAAATTTGAGGGTAGTGGTGGTAAAGGTGGTGGAGGAGTTGATTTATACTCGTCATCATCATCATTATCTTCTTCATCTGCGTCATCCGGTTCATCAGCATCGCCATCATCACCTTCATCTTCTGTTTCGATAGGTGGCGAAGATGCAAAACGCATTGGTGCAGCTATAGGTGGCGACATAGGTGGTGGTGGTATCATTTCCAAAACAGAATTTGTTGGAGATGCTGGCGGTGAAGACATAGCTGTACTTGATAGTTGTGGTGGTGGTGTTGGTGGCAAGTCATCATGCTCACTTAAAGTAGGCAAATGTGTTGGTTGCATGGTCATAGCTGATGTTGTTTGTGGAGGTGGTGGTATCATTTGAGCCATAGCAGCAATTTCAGCATCCAAAATATCTTGTGGTATTGGTAGTGGTGGAGTAGGTGGTTGTTGTGGTTCACGCGCGATTGCGCTATTATCAACTTCTTCAATATCCGAATCAATGCCTTGAGCAAAATCCATGTAAAATGTATCACGCGAATCGCTTGAACCGCGACGCAATTTTAAAGATAGATCAGGTGAACTATCCATGATTAATGTATATATATATGTTGTTTTATCTTTTAAACCGTTTTATGGAGTGAGTATTTTATTTTTGTTTTTATAAGTGTTATTTTATAATTGTTTTAGATGTTTGAGTAACAATCGCAATTTATTTCACATTGGAAATGCTAAGAAAATATAAACACTTATTTTTTTTAATAAAATATTAAGCATTTTTAGTGATTTTTTAGTAAATCAGGTAGTTAAGTACAAGTGCGTTGATTATAAAGCGTATTTTTCATTTATATTATATGGTCTCATCTACACAAATATCAAGTCTATTAAATTAATCATTCACTGTTTTATTAAATATCGCTGCAGCATCTGAATATCTTCAGGACTACAGTTTATTTTGAGCCAAATGAGTTTAAAAGGATTATCTTACTAATAATTGGTTATACAGACTAAGAATACGAAAAATTTTTTTCCAATATTATGGAACTTAACAGGAATTATGACAGTACTTATAGGTAAGACAGACTGAATGCACAAGATATCTTCTTCAAATACTGTAGAGCTTAGCAGGGAGTATGAAACTATTAATAGGCAACACATACTGAAGACAGAAGATATATGCGTCCAATACTATAGAACTTGACAAGAATTTTAAAACTAATAATAGGCAAGACATAGCTTCCTCAAATACTGTAGAACTGAACAGGGATTATGAAACTATTAATAGGCAAGACGTACTGAAGACAGAAGATATTATAAAACTAATAATAGGCAAGACTTACTGAAAACACAATATATTTTCTTCTAATACTGTTGAACTTAACAAAGAATAGTGTGCAACGCTAGTGAATCCAAATCCAAATCAAAAACGTGAATTTTAAGTGATCCAAGTTCAAACTACAGAGGGTTTTTATATTTTATTTTTCATTCTTTATAATAGAGTTAGTAACTAAAAAAGTGATCTCACTGCATTTTTAATTTATTTTCTGTTGTAAGCATTCAACGTAAGGATTATCTAAAACCATCTAGTTAATTAGGTTTCTATTAAAAAATTTTCTCAGCGTTTAAACCATCAAATTGGTTATTTAGTATATTTTGTTTAACATGAGAAGTAATAATTAGTATTACACTTGATTTTCACGACATTATTACTCAGTATTGCAGAAAGATCTAATAAATAAATGGACGATATTAAGACCCTACTATTACCTAGGGAGATCATATCAGTTATCGCGCCGAACAAAAATACGAATATTTAACTCCAACATAAAATCTTGCTTCCTACACGGATGTCAATCTTGGAACGCTACGGAAAACGGCATCAATGCATTATAAGTTTTCGTAAATCAGTCATTACGCAAAATTGTTAGAGCATTTTGGCCAAATACAATTCCAAATGAACATTCATGTTCTTTAACTAAACAAAGACCCATAAGAACCCAAATCAAAAACTGCAAATGGGACTAGGTCGGTCACACTTTGCATAGACCGACTGGTGATAGCAGAAGCATGGCGATTGAGTGGAACCCGATGGATAGCATGGACAAGGAAATGTCACACAAGCAGAAAAGCTGGGAAGAGTTGAAGCTACTGGCCACCAATCGTGCCGAGTGGAAGATATTTGTTGCGGTCCTATGCTCCTCCTAGGAGTTAAAGGATTTAATATATATATCTATATATTACCTAATATCCTAGTGATATCTAATATATAGGTGAACGATATAATAAATGGTATGTAATAAAATATAAAAAATTACTACACTTTTATTTTATGTTTTCTATATGTATTTTTATTGACTACGTCGTCATGCTTTACTTGTCTTAAAGCCTTATCATAATGCGCAATGAAGGATTTAAGGGGTACTTGATGCTTTGAACATCCTCTAGACAGAAGTCTACAACAACAACAACAACCAACAAACCAACTAACCAATTGTTTTTAGACAATTTTTCGCATCATAAAAGCGCAACAACGCATTTATCTACGCTTTACTGCGATTGCAGGGAATTTGTAGTTGATTTTCAGTTGCGGCACAATAATGCGTAGTAGCGCCAAAAACAAAAAAAAACAAAAACAAAAACTGGAAGGAGATGTACGCGTGATGTACGCGTACTTAATGGATTCCAACCCTCATGCCATAAACCAGCGAGCTGAGTACGACACTTGCTTTGTGTGCCAACAACGCCATCAAATGCCACAAAATAGTGCAGACACACACCCCTTTCCACTCGCTAAAGGCAAATATACGACAATTTTACACAAAAAAGCCCATACAATAAATGAACACTTAAACACACACACACATATGTAAATGTTCAGTGATGCTACGCACTGTACGCACACTTATACCATAAATTGTTATTGTTTTCTGAGCTTAACAACGAAAGCGATAGTTTATTTCGTTATTTCGTTGTTTTGTGGAGCAGCGTTTGTTTGTGTATTTTTCTTATTTATTTTAAATTTATTTTTAATTTATTTTTTTGTATTAGTTGAATTTTTCCATTTTTGTAAATATTTTTTAATTTTAAATTCACATAAATTTATTTAATAAAAAACAAAAAACGAAACGGAAAAAAATTATGGTACACATTATCCTTTAAAGAAGTGCTGCTGTAATAGTAGATATGCTGCTAGGTCAGCGTAGGTGTTTATTAAATAATATATGTACTCAAATTTTCGGCAGAGCATACAACAACAATGACACACACTCACACGCCCGTTTTTCCCGGCACACAAAAGTGTGTGTATACACCAAAAAATTGCAAATATTCGCAAATGCACAACTGCAAATTTTTTGATGTTTGCGATAAAGAAATTCGGCACTTAATTCCGCATCCTAAAACAATCCTCTTAAGTAAGGATTTTATTTTTTAGTTATTAGCTTCTTTTACTGATATTTTTTTATAGTTCATTCCAAACCGTTAAAGTACCTTTAAAAAGTCTTAGTGTTTTTTTTTGCTCTGTCTTTTTATTTTGTTATTTTGAAAAAATTCACTTTTTTCGAGCTGAACGACGAGAGGACACAATCCTGCTGCGACGACACTCAACAGTAGAATGAAGTACAGCGCAGTTTTGTATTTGTGCTCACAGTGATTTTTGTTTTTATATTTGAACTTCCAATTCCAGTCTCAGAAAAGCGCGCACATTCACATTTCAGCACGATTCGCACAATTCGACTGTACGAATAACATAGCAAGAAGCAAACTTACAATTACGATTTTCTCTTCTTCTTCGCGTATTTGTGTTTAAGCTCGAACTTGTGCTGCAACATTACTTTTGTGTCTGTGTGTGTGTGTGTGTGTGTGTGTGCGAGTGTGTTTGTTTGAATTGTGTTTTTACTGGTGTTTGTGACACCATTGGAATTTGTGTATTGTAAAATGTAAAATGTTTTGTTTTTGTTTTTGTTTACTTCTTCCGTTTGTTTTTATTTTCGCACTTGTAAACGAACTCACTGCCGATTATTGTGTTCGTCCGTTTTCATCGTAAAACCGAGCCGAGGCACGAAGACGAGATGAATGAATGCTGACAAGTGTGAGGCTGGCATGCTCTTCAGCAATTGAAAGCTTTTGTGCGTGAAAATGTCGACAATTAATTTAAGCTCAGCGATTTTGTTGGTGTTAGGCACATTTACTACGAACATTACTACTTCGTTAGACTGAATGGCGACCATTTCCGGTCTTTTGCACAATAATTATTTCAAAAAAAAAATACTCCATTTATTATACTGAAATAAAATATTATTTTACTTCAATATTATTAGCGTTTACATTGTGCTCATGATCCTTTTGAAGTAAATAGCAATTTTTTTTTATCAGCGGCTTTGAAGTTTGTGTAAAAAGTATTCGGCGTTTTTCTTAAAGTGAAAATAATTTTAAAATTTAATAATAGCTTTTGAAATATTCAAAACAATGGAAAAGTTTACAATGTGCGAGCCCAAATTTGGAGACCCTTCAGTAAGCCGAACTTTAAAAGTAAGAAAAATTTGATTTTAGTATTTCTGCTAGTTCAGAAAATACCGAATATTGGTCTATTAGCTGATTGTGTTGCATTTAAACTAGCCTTATAGAAAAATTTAATATTCACCCACCTTAATTTCCCATCGACCTGCTTAACAATATGCGGTACAAACTTCCTCAATTCCTGACGTTTTATCTGAATGACACTATCCGTATCTCTACAATCGTAGTTGCAACAACCGCTTGTACAGACTTAACTATTAATCCGTAATGACTACCTAGCAAAAACATCCCCTTCCTCCCCGCTTCTAATTTTGTCTAAGATATATATATTGTCTAAGTATCAACCTTTCTGATTTTTTTTTAAATCTGCCCTTCGCTTAATTACTGGAATAAAGTTTCAGCTTTTGACCTTTATAGTCAAAAGCTGTTGCCTTATGTTTGTCGAGATGCTAAAATTTAGTACTAATAACAACCATCTATTTATTATAGAAAAATAATAATTATTATCGTATATAGAAAAACGGGTTCGAAAAACTTAAAGTATAACAAATTAGAAAAGTTTCCAAGCTGCAGGTCCTTGCCAAATGAAAAACACTGCAGTTCCAGATATAGGAAAAAACATTGAAAAACAATATGAATAGATTTCATCCTCTAAAATTAAATTTGTGATATTTTTACTTCAAATCTTCTACGTGAATTTACTATAAAAAAAAATGGATTAATCCACTCTTGGTTAATACCCAGGAGATTTCTCCTAAGTGAAATATCATCAACTTAATAATGACAAATCGTTTTGTAATAACTCTACTAAAGTTTCCTATAACTAGAATCACTTAGTGTCTCACTTAGTATAACCGAATTTTATTTAAATTTATAAGGCTTTTATCTAAAGTAAGACATCATTGCTGGTCATTGATTTGATTGTGATTTATTCTATTATAATAAATAATTTTTAATTTCATAGCTTCTATTTTAACTTTGTTTATTAAATAATCAGCATTTAACCTTTAACTTTAATTAGTTAACTAAGAATTAATTTATTCGGCATCTTTAATATTTATTATCAATTTCCTCTTCAAATCCTTTTAATTATTCCCCCATCCGTATGTATTTATATTTATTTTATTTGCCCTAAAATTTACTGAAATTGAATACCTTTAACAGTTTAACTTATTTTATCTGTATTCATTGCAATAAAAATGTAAGAAAAAACCAAGAATATATGAAAGTAAATAACATCTTCCTAATCCTTTACAAACATTAACCTAAAACACCCAGTCTCCTTGTACCTTTTTAACAGGTTCTCAATTTTATTTTTATTATAATTTTTATTTCAATACATACTATTTCTCTACTAATGACCTTAATAATAACACCTTCTTTTCTACATTTTCCTTTCCAACTCTTCTCATCATTGTGCTCAATCCGCACAATATGTCATAAGGCGCAAAGGAATGTTAGGTGCTTTCTATCTTCAACTGACATTAAACAATTTTTTTCCTTTTTTATCCAACGAAACAACACATTTTCCAGGAATTCTTATCAATACTCTTCGCTATTGGCAAACTGGAACACACATTAAGCGTAAAATCTCACAATACATGTTACCCGCAATTAGCATCTTCTGTGTCATTCTCTTACAAGTACTCGTCACCAAAGTTCAAGCAGGACAATTTACTACAATTGCCTAAAGCTCACTGTTGAGCTTTTATTTGCTCTAAGCTTTGTATTTAAAGTAAATTTTAAAGTAATAGAGCCACATAAAGCTTAAGTATGTAAGCTTTACACCAGTGAACAAATTCAATACTGACAAAGATTTAAGTATTTAAATTAGTTGTAAATATATCAAAGCGGACTAAGAATATATATTTACTGTGTTAAATGTTTAGTTTATTTAATTTTTTTTATTTTTTATTTTTTTTATCGGTACATCTCCTATTCGAAGGATTGAAATATGATTTATATATAAATTTATTGTTTTTTTTGACATCTTGGTCAACAAACGCTCAAAACGACAGATTAAACAGATTAAAATACATGTGTGCAATGTGTACATTGTTTGATGTTTTTTAAATTTTTATTCATCATTTATTATATTTTTAATTATTTTTTTTGCGTCAATTAAATTGTTTGTATAACATTTGGAGTACATAAAAGTGCAAAATTGCATTTTTGTGTATTTGTGAAATGCACATTAAAGAAACATTTGATAGAGATGCATTTGATATTTTATCACAAATAAAAAAATATTTCATATCTCTAAGTATATGTAAACACAATATATTTTATTAAAAGCATTGTCCTGTTAACTTAAAATTTTAATTTTATATTGCCCTTAAAAATAAACAATTTAATTTTGTCAAAGAACAGAAACCATGTGGCAACGTCAACAATTATTTTATGGAATTTAAGCAGAGACGGTTGGCAACACCAACCCGACCGTATGACAGTTCGATTATTTGACATATTCGTGCGAAAGACCGCCAAATGCTATTATTGTTATTAACCATTAGTCTTAACATTAGTGCAAATAGATTTATAAAATAAATATTTAAATAAAATGGTTGAAGAAAGTGCAGAAAAAGTTGTCCGTATGCCATGGTAAATAAAAAATAATGATTTATTCTCTATATATAGATTTATTAAAGAATTTCATATTTACAGGGTAGAAAAATATCGACCGGCGAAATTGGACGATTTGATTTCACATGAAGAAATTATTTCTACAAGTAAAGAAATAAAGTTTAACCAATTAATATGGGATATAGTATATTTAAACATTTTTTGTTCTTACAACAGTTAATAGATTCATCAATCAAAAACAGCTGCCCCACCTGTTGTTTTATGGACCTCCAGGCACAGGAAAGACAAGTACAATATTAGCGTGTGCGAAGCAACTTTACACTCCAGCTCAGTTTAAATCCATGGTACTTGAATTAAATGCATCTGATGATCGTGGCATTAATATAGTGCGTGGTCAAATACTTAATTTTGCTTCTACGCGAACGATTTTCAGTGGTACATTTAAATTGATTATATTGGACGAAGCTGATGCCATGACCAATGATGCACAGAATGCCTTGCGTCGTATCATTGAAAAGTACACAGAAAATGTACGATTTTGTGTTATTTGCAATTATCTGAGCAAAATTATTCCTGCCGTGCAGTCGCGTTGTACGCGTTTTCGTTTTGCACCATTGTCCCCAGAGCAGATATTACCTCGATTGGATAAAATTGTTGAAATGGAAAAGTAAGTAAACATATTTCTATTTTAATTATGTAATTTAAACTTTTTTATTATAGGCTAAATGTCACTGAAGATGGTAAAAAAGCGCTAATGACTCTGTCCAAAGGTGATATGCGTAAAGTGCTTAACGTACTGCAAAGTACATCAATGGCATTTGATATCGTCAATGAGGATAACGTTTACACTTGCGTTGGTCATCCTTTGCGCAAAGACATTGAACATATTTTGCAAACTTTAATGTCAACAGAGAATTTTGAAACTGCTTATAATGGTAGGCATAAATTACACATGTTTAATAATAATTGGCGAACCATTCATATTATTTTTTTATTACTTTTAGAAATACAAGGTATCAAATCGGTTAAAGGCTTGGCTTTGGAAGATATACTAACTGAACTACATCAATTTGTTATGCGAAGTAAGTGTGGAAGTATAACATCTATTTGTTTTATATTGATATATACTTGGCTCTGATTTGGTTCGTAGCCAGAAATTTACTTCGGGCTGTGATTCCGGCTACATGCCTGCTTTTGACCATGTAGCAAAAGAAAATTGCTACTTGATTATATATACAAATTAGTAGTTGCAAATAGATTTTGACAAGCTTTGTTAACAGTTGTATTGCCATCTGTATTACAGGAGTTTCCTTAAATGCTCTGGAGCCAAAGAATGTTAAACAAAGCTTGTTTATCTAGTAACTTAATTAAAATAATACATAACGCTAAGTACTTTACCTTGCAAGTATGTTAATTATATTTACTTTATATTTTAGTTGAAATTCCAATGAGCGTGATGAACAAATTAATTATTAAATTGGCTAGCATTGAAGAACGTCTCGCAAAAGGCTGCAGTGAAGGTCCTCAAACAACAGCATTAGTTTCAGCATTTTTTATTTGTCGCGAAATGGTTACAATGGAAAGTTAAGTGTATTGAAAAATTTATAGTATTAAGAAATTATCAAAACAAACGATTACAACTATTAAAAATTTAAATATATTAAAATTCATACAAAAAAAAACTGTATTTATAATTTTGATTTCGTTTCTTTTTCATATTTGTAAATTGTTTGATGTGCGAAATCAAAGTGCGGTTCAAGTTCTTTGCGCACTGTTTCAATCCATTTCGCTACCTTTGGGAATTTCTCGCTTACATCGTAAGCTGTCGTGCCTAAAAAATAACACCAAACAATAATTAATTAATTTATTATTAAAAAGTTTAATTAATTTAGTTAATTACGTATTTGTTCTACTTCACAAGCACCGAAAACATCTGCAGCTGTTAACTCATTGCCATTTATAAATTTTGTATCTTTCAACCAGACTGTCTCAATCACACCTAAATCTCGTTCCATTTCAGACTTGTATTTTGCAACTTTACCTGGTGCCGCAGGCGCACCGAAAAACTTATCTTGTACCCAAAGAAAACGAAAATATAATGAGCAAGAAGTACGTATGCCATTGTGCTGCCACTGAAGAAATTCGTCCACACGTGCTCGTTTTTGCACATCCTTGGGATAAAAATGTTCAGCTATGTAATTTTTATTTGAAAAATATCTGCAAGAATTTTAAAGGAGAAATTTGAAAATATATAAAATTTCATCAGACATATTATAATTAATCATTGATGAATTCATTTCAAAAACGAAATTTACCAATAAGTACTGGATCGTCCCAGTTGAAAGAGATCTCTGTGAGTTTTTCTATTTGCATCTATGAATTCAGGGTCCGTATAATAAAACCTAAAATTCTAATTGGCGTTCGAAGCATGCTAACATACTCTGTGATCATAGCTGAATCAGCATAAGCAGTATATTAGCTTCAGTGCACTTGGAAGTGTGTAAGCAAGAAGCGTTACTTAGTGTGTAGGACAAATTCCTAAACAAAGACTGTTATATTCCGCTTTGTATACAAAGTAAGACCAAACTTAATTTGAAAAATGTGTGGAATAAATCCACATAACATGTCCCTAACTACAGTTATACATCTCATAACGGCGCCCATCTCTTTTTATGTCTTAGCACATACCAACATGCGCCTATTTTAACTTATAGACCCATTTAATCAAATCTGCAAGTTTAATTTTTCGCTGCAGCCACACTCCACCTTCTACTAAACCCTTCCTACATTCATCCTATATATTCATCATGTTGTGTTCATATTTTCTGCTGTGTAAATCTCTTCGGATAAACACTTTTCTGATCCTGTTGTCTAAATATTTTTTCTAATCTTTGTAATGTTAAAATAAATTTATACCATCACCAGTTCCGACTTACCTTAAAATAGCTATGCTCTCTGCCAATTTGAAATTTCCCTCAACAATCGCGGGCACCTTCTGAAAGCGATTAACTTCATTTTTAAACTCGATGGTTTGATTTCCACCTACAAACGATAGATGTATCTATATTTAGTTATATATATAAAAATTATTTTAATTAGAATATGACTTTAATCGCACCTTCCAATAAATTAATTTGATTCTCTTCAAATGGAGTGCCGCTTTGTTTTAATATGATGTAAAGAGCTCGGGATGGTTGTGATAGAAAATCAAAATAATATTTAAATTGAGCTTTAGACTCTGGCATGTTGTAAACTAATCAAAAATGAAGACTAAAATATAACGATTGCTAAAAAACCACTTCATGCCTTATATCATGAATCCAACAGCTGATTTACTTTCAGGAGATTAGATTTGACAAAATACAAAATCTCTACCGGCTTGATTTCTCCCCCATAAGTTCTCTACATACACTCTTAAAAAATAACAACCGAACAATGGATTTTTTTAATATGTTTAAGAGTCTAAAGAGTAAATTGAATCGTGTTATTATAGAGTAACAAAAGAGATGTCTATTTCTCTCTTACAGATATAACAATCCATTTGAGTCTGCTTATCAAAGACAATAAAATATATCTATTATTTAGTAGATATGAACTTCATTTTCTCTAAATGACATCGTAAAGGTTTTATATAGTGAATTATAGATTTAAACGGTTATAAACCGATATGCAGTTTATACTAAGTAGCATATCGTTCTTGATAACAGTCGCAGATATCGACTTCGCATAGTGCTTAATGTTTAAAAATACAATTTGCAATTGCAATTATTTTCATTTTTGTGTAATGTTTAACAAATGGAAAAATTCATCTGCAATCTCTTCGGTATAAAATGTGGATCAGGTGAAATTATGTTTAATTAAACAAAAATTAGTAATAGTAACAGTGTACAAACAATATATTTGGTAATCTGAATGATATCAGATCGTTGTCTTTCATTTTCCTTAATAATTAATCTTTACGTTTATCTTAATTAACATAGTAAATTGTTATCATTGCAGAATATCTAACGAAGTGCCTCCTTTAAATATATAAAATAAAAAATTTTAAATAAAAATACTACTTCTATTCTATGTGATTTTAATTTTCGAATCTCTCTTCAAATACCTTTAGATATCTCATTATTGATATAAATACAAACAACATATTGGTATCTGGTAAATAATGAACTATTTTACATACTATATATGCATTCTTGATATATAATCAGTTGTACTTCAATGACATGGCGGTGTTTTGTTAGTGTGATAGTGCCAAAAGAATATCACTCCTAAGGAATTTACTCTTAATTTGTTTAAAAACATACATACATTAATGACTACTGTCGTAGTGCTAAAACTGCTATCCTAACCAGTATTCGTCACTAACCATAAGGCTTCTATGCAACATAGGTCCCTACTTCCTAAAGTGTCTATCTGATACCCTGAATATGTACAACAAAGACTTATCACAGTAGTATTAGAACTGGTGCACTTAGAGATCGACAGCTATGAGATGAACTTCCCCTGAAATAGAGAGATGTTTCTGTGAAGAATTTTCACAAAAATTTTATATACGGAGGTTGGCTTTTAAGATTTCCCAGATGAATGTTTTAGTTCACGCATACTTATTGTGTTGTTTAAATCGATTCTAAATTATATCTCTGCGAAAAATTAAATCCATTTTTAATAATGAATATAGTGTAATGATTTTTAACGATTTTCGACGCGGGTTAACCAGAATATAATGCATTGATCAACTTACTCCTACATTTGACAATGAAACACCACATCCAACGAGTGTATGAGTTTCGGACTCAATGGTTCAATGAATCCGTGTGTAATCGTTTTATCCACGACAAATTTCGTGAAGGTCGACCAAGAACGGCTGTTGTACCAGAAAACATCGATGCAGTGTGAGAAATAATAAAGATGGATCAGCATGTCACATGCAAGGTGTCCTTGCAAATTAATGGTATTAGCATACATTTAATTTTACATAGGTATTAAGCTTTCAGAATGATTTGTTCCCGTTATAATTTGACAATCTCTAAAAGAAGCTAAAAGTGTTGATTGGTGCAAGGAAATGCTGAAAAAACACGTCTACAACATTGTGATAAATGACAAATCATGGATACACGTGTATGAGCTCGAAACAAAACAGTAATTCACTGTTTGCGTCTTCCAAAACTACCAATACCCGAAAAGTTGTCCGCAGGCGGTACAAAACGAAACAAATGGTCGCTTTTTTTTTCAAAAAAAATGGTCATTTCGCAACCATACCAGTTAAACAACGTGAACGGTCAATTCTGAGTGGTACACAATGATTTGTTTCCAGGAATTCGAATTTATGGGTTATCCCAACTACGTTTTTAAGGCATTCAAAACCCTGTTTTTGGTGATACCAACTTTAGAAAAGTAAAACTGTTTCGAACAGTGGTTCTGTTAAATGCAAAAATGTATTGATCATCATGGAGAATACTTCGAAAAACAATAGTACCACATTCACTGATCAAACCCTTGGTTTTCAAGATTTGAAAGACAGCTCTTATATGTATAAATGTAGCCTTCGATTCATTTCAGGAACAGCTTCAGCACCTTAAACTGGCTACGTGCCCGTTAAGGATACAATAATCAATTTCGGACGATTTAACGAATATAATTGGAATGGATTTTTAAGGAAATGTTATATAAAGTCTTTCTTTCTGGATCAAAAGAAATCTAAGCATACAGACGAAACTGAATTGCGGATTAGTTACTTTAAGTCTGACTACATTTAATTGTCAATAATATTGTCAGATATATACAGATATACTCTTACTGGGTGACGTTTATATATCAAACGCGTATCATAATTATTAGAATTTTTTAATTGTATTGTATAAATTGTTTTGCGGTATTTAGTAATTAATAGAATATTAATTAATATTAAATAAATATTAATATGACTTTCCCTTTGCAATTATATTCAAGAGGTTTCTTGATTTTATAATTAAAATTATTAAGTGGTATAATGGGCCTAAGTATTAAAAAATGTATAATCATTTACATTTTATTTTTTCAGCTTGATATTAAATACACTTTGTTAAAAAAATATATTTATTAATAGTTATTTTATTTAATTTAAATATTAATTAATAAAAACAGTTTAAGAGTAAATCAAATAATTTTGAACTTTAGTCTGTAAAATTTAATCAAAACATAATTTTATTTTTGTGAAGAGAAAGACTAAAGCTCTTTCAATTGAGAAAATTATATATTTTTTTTTTAATTAATAGAACTACAAACAAGTTTTTTCACAAAATTCTATTAAAAACATAACGTTTTTCTCTTTTTTTATAATTAAAAATCATACGACCTGCTTGCCTAAAAAGTTTTGAACGCCTCAATTCAGTACTCAGTACTCACTTGTCGGTTAATAGGTGCGAACGTTCGATTGAGGAAGATATACTTTCGCTAGTTTTCGTGGTACGTTTTATTTTAAAAATTACTTATGATTTAATTTATATTAAATGAAACTACTCAAATTATTAAATAAATCATTAAAATCATATTTTTTTTATTTAAAAACATTCCTTCTATATATTAACGGCCTTAAACTTCCAGTTGTGAGGTGATTTTAAAGAGTAATTTTCATAGAGTAACCTAATATTTTTTTCATTTTAAAATTGATATGAAATACTTATTTTTGTTTACAGTTGAAGTATTATTTATAAAAAATAGTTATTTTTTTTTTTAATTCCACATATCTGAATGGTTGTTATTTATCTTCTATGTGGGGTCAATGTCTAAGCGCAAGAATGTTGTTGGCGAACGCACAATGACAAATCAAGAGTTAAGTTAAGAGTAAAACTACCTCAACCTACTCTCAACTTACTTAACCTATTGTTCACTGATTACCAAATAAAGAGTTCTAGTGCGTTTAAAATTAATAACAAAATAAACATATTCACTCTATAGAGATAAATAATAAATAATAATTATTTTTACACAAAGTCATAGTAATATCATACGCTACGATCATTTCTTTCATTATAACGAGTCAATATATTAACTAATATTATTTAAATATTATTTTTCAGAACCATTACCCACCACGCCAAAGGTCAAAATGACTCTAAAATATTACTATGATCTATTGTCACAGCCTTCACGAGCCCTGCTCATTATTTTGAAAATGAGTGATACACAATTTGAAGACTGCCCAGTGGCACTACGAAATGGTATGTTTGAAATCCGATTCTCATCTCATAGCACCGACTTTAATCTAATCAATGCATAAACAGAATTTTATCGCTATTTTCGTTAAACCCAATGGATTTTGCACTTTGCGTTGGAAAACGAAACTATCTATAAAAACTACTTCAAAATCATTAAATATTTATTTAAACCATAAAGTTATATTGTTTATACGTACAATTTGTTTACATATTAAATCGCATAATATTTATTTATTATACTTATCTCAGGTGAACACCTAACAGAGGAATTCAAAAACGACGTTAATCGCTTCCAAAGGGTACCTTGCATTAACGATGACGGTTTTAAATTAGCAGAAAGTATTGCCGTACTAAGGTAGTATACTATATATAATAGAGCTGTTTGATAAGTCAGTGATAAATGAAAGGAAGTTAATTTTTGTTTACTGTTAAGTTTATTTTTCGACATAGACCCTGTTGAGTTTAATACACTTGCTGCAACAATAGTCCATTTTTCTTATAACTCGTAGAAAATACATTTCTTCAACATTTCCCAGATATTTATTTATTGTAGAAGAAACGTTCAAAATTAATTGAAATGACACCTAGTCATTTTTCTAGTTTAAAGTTTCATAAAAACCAAAAAAAACATTCTGAAGAATAGGATCAAATTTTGTTTTAATATATTGATGATAACAAATACACATATTAAGTTAGAGAGGGAGTCTTATGCTACAAACCCACTTGAGTTCAAATAATGGCCCGTTGTGATACCACAGATCAGCGTTGTCCAAAAGGATCGCTCACAGATAACGCTTAAAGACATGACTCTCATATTTAACTGAAAGTGAATCAATCTGATAAGTCTATAAACTTGGCTAACTACCTGATTTTGTAGGATGGCAGCTCTGTTAAGCCCCAAAAACTTTAAATCTTCGCCTGACTAACGATGGATATTGACACATGAAGAGGAATATCATCATCCACAACACTGATAAAAGTCATTATAGGTTAGACCTAGTATCATAGCATGTCTTCCTAATACGCAGTGATCTATTAGCACCAATAACATAGTGTACAGCTGAGTACATTCCTTTTCTAGTTTGGACCAGGGTAATATTGACAGCTGATAGAAATTTTATGTCCAAATTTCTTGAACTATACTTAGATATTTTTGTTTACTTCCCTGTTCGGCCGTTGCTAGTGTTACACTAATATCCGAGTAATTAATATCGGTTAGCAGAGTGACTGCTTCGTCTGTCCGTCATGTTTTTCCTTTTTTGCGAACTCACCAAAACTTTTGCGTGTGGTTTGGACAATTGTCCAAATAAAATAGGTTCCCATGTCGGAGTAAAAATTTTAACTTAAGCTAATTTTAACATATGTTAGCTTCTAAATAAAAATATTACAAAAATATTTAAAACATATTTAGTGTGATATTCATCGACTTATAAAACAGCTTTTGTATAAATTACAGTTACGTTTAATAAGTAAAATGTAAACCGTTTTCAGATATTTAAGTGCCAAAGGAAAAATTCCAGAACATTTGTATCCTAAGTATTTTGTTGAACAATCACGTGTGGATGAGTTTCTTGAATGGCAGCACATAACCTTGCGCGTTACTTGTGCTTTGTATTTCCGCACAATTTGGCTACAGCCTCTATTGAGCGGTGTAAAGCCATCACCACAAAAAATTGAAACTCTACGTGGCCATATGGAACAAAATTTGGATATTATAGAAAACGTTTGGTTGGAAAAAACTGATTTTTTGACTAGTAATAAATTAACTGTTGCCGACATTTTCGCTGCCTGTGAAATCGAACAGACAAGTAAGTTTATAATAGTATTTAAATGAACAATATTCTAGTCCATTCCATTAAGAAAGACCACTCAACAATAAATCACATACGAAAAATTTAACTAAAAGCGATTATAAAATTAATTTTAAATTAATTTAAAGGAATGGCTGACTATGATGTACGGATCAAGTATCCAAAAATTAGAGCCTGGCTCAAACGTGTGCGTGCGGGTTGTAATCCACATTATGATTATGCACACCAAATAATCTATAAGATTACTGGCACCGGACCAAATTCCAAACTGTAAAAACCAAATGTGCTAATATCATCTGTTAATAATGTTAATATTTGGAAATAAATTAAAATATTTTAGCTTGACAATATTATGGAGAAAAATGTCTTTTATATATTAAAACAAAAAATAAATTTAACCTTTTAATATATAACATATAAAACAAAAATTATTAAACAATTGAGTATTTTTCCTTCATATATAACAACATATATGTTGTCTTGGTGCTATTTATATTATCCATAGTATAACTGATAACTATATAGCTTTTTACATTTATCAGTTGAATGTTTTAAAACATATTCGTTTGTTTATAAACAAAAATCAAAATTTTAATTTAAAATTTATGTGTATTTTATTTGCAGTATTTATACGAAGTGTACTTTAAATCTGTTTTTTGTTTTACTGTTTTGTTTTTTTTTCCTTTTTTCTTAAATTGCTTTTTATATTTTTACAGAAAATAACTATTGAACATACATCTTGTATATATAATTACTACGTATATATATTTATATATACATAGGTACATAAAACTTAATTTCATATACCTACATTTTTATATATAATTTTATCATATATTTGCTTTAATACAATTTTTGATGCATTTTACTTTTGTATGCATATAAATAAATTTATTTTTGCATGCTTGCATTTGTTTTAAAAATACAAAAACATGTTTGTTATATACAATATATATACTAAATTGATAAAATATTAATATTTTAATATGTTATTTTAGCTTACAAAATTAATCGCTCATACAAAAATGATTTAAAAAATCAAGCACTTTTCTAAACTCTCTCAACAAATGCTAAAAAATAAGGCATTTTTATTAAAAATAAACACTTTTCATGTTTAAGTGGAAAAAATAAATTTTTTTCTATACAAAATATTCCTAAAATTATACATATATAACAATAATAATTATTAAAAATTAAAAAAACTTGCTTAAAAATAAACACAAATTTAAAAACTTTGCGTGTTTGTATAATTATTTTGTTATACAATAAAAAATTTATAAAATAAAATAGTAAAATAGTTACTTCTCATAGTTTTTACAATTTTTATCCATTATTATACTTCATTTGATTTTTTTCTGACACATTTTCATATACTTTTTTCGTATGTACAATATAAAAATAATTTTTACTTTATCCTTATATCGTTTTACTTATAACTTCATATTAAGTTAATCGTTTTAACAAACGTATATGAATTTTATAAGTTCGTGTCTTGGCGTGGCCAAAATGTTCTTAATTTTTGGTTTCAAAAAATGTTCTTCTTTTTCTTTTTAAATAATTTTAATTATTTGTTACTAATTCTACAATACTAAATGCGTGCGTTTAGATTTACAATTTGTTTGCTGTTTGCTATTTGCTATATAATTATATATATAAACATATATATTCGTTTCAACTTCGTTTTCAAACATTTCTGTTGCTAATCTAATTATATTGCACAACAAAAACTATTTGAAAGAAAAGAATACATATTCGCGGCTTAAAATTAATTGGTGTTAATTAAAATTAATTATTTGTTTATATTTTTATTCATCTCATTAAAACTCCAGTCCCTCTTCTAATTTGACCATACATAATTACATGAGTTCAATGCACCGAATTTTATTAAATGGGGTATATATTAATTATTTGTTAAAGCTTTATATAATTTTATATTATTACTCTTCATTCAAATTAAAAGAAGTAACAATCCTGTCTGGGCACGTCTAGTTTCTTTTTTTTTTTGAATCAGGAATCCTCTATTATCTGTAACAATAAGTCAGCGAGCACTTTTCTCTATGCTTTCGCTTTTAATTTTAGCTTGATTTTGTTTTTAATATAATTATCAAAAATTTGCTTTCAATATCGACCCCGATTTATATTTTTAATACGTATGCCTACTTCAAGAACATGTTCACCTGCACCACCAGCTACAGAAACTGTGGTACCTGCACTGCCATTTCCATTGCTACCATCGCTTTGTTGTGCGTTATTGTTATTATTATTATTGGCTATGTTTCCGTTTGCACTTGGAATTGGTATACGTCTGAGCACTGTTGTCGTAACCGTACCATTATTACTCTTGCAGTGATGATTGCAATTACTTCCGCTCATTGAATTACCACCGTTTGATGCAGAGTAATCATGTGGCCCACCTACCGTGTGACGCCTTTTAATAGAACGATTTTGTTTATTTTGTATCTGTCGCTTTTTTGTTAAGTTCATATCAGTCTTTTCATCTTTAGTTAATGTTGACACTGGTGTGCCAATTCCTCCACTTCCTCCACCTCCTCCCCCATGTCTTGTGGAGTAATTACGGCAATTGAATGAGGCAGAACGAAAAAGTCGATGATCACGTCTTTTTTTATTGTATCGATCTTGAAAAAAAGAGGGCGATGTTATGACAAGTGATTCTTTAGGATCGCTAGTAGTTGAACCCTCAGAATCATCCTCAGAAGCCACTTGCTCGTATACAGATGAAGAGAAACGTATATTCTTATTTATGCTTGAGTTGCGGGCTACAGTATTTCCACTTTGAGTACCAATTGCAGTAGTCGTTTTAACTGTGACTACTGCTGTAGGGGTGGATGCCGCAGTTGGTGGAGGTATCGCACAACTACCTCCATTATTTGTATGGATAGGTGCTGTTGCTGAATGCTGTAACTTATTGCTTTTATAAGCTGTTATATTGGTCAGTGGAGGTCGCAGTTCCTTTTCCTTGATACTTTCGATTGCATGTTTTGAACTAATTGTATTTGTAGCAGTACAGGATCTGCTTAACATAAGTGTGTTTGGTGCATCTAACGGGCAGGAGTTGTGAAAATGTCTTTCAGGAGACTCATCGGCATAGGGAATGTTTTCAGAGTGTAAATGTAAAGGTTGTCCAAAAGTGTGTCGCCGATTTTTTGGAAATTCTGGTGAACCATTTTCATCATTTGACTCAGAACCACTTCGCAGATTTCGTAGTTTCGAGTCTAATGTGTCAGTTATTGTTGTTAGTGACATAGAACCTAGAAATAAATATATTTATTTTTATAAAATATATAAATTATATATAAAATAATATAATGAATAACATTTCTAATACCTGTATCACTGATACGACTGTTGCTTGACTCATCGTCGGTAAGCAAAATGGAAATATCCACACTACTTCGTTGTTTCTCTTTGCTTATACTTCCGCCACTGCCACTACCGCTGCCTGAATCCTTCTCATCCAAACTGGCCTTACGATGATGAGTACGTGAGCTATGGCCCAAAAAGGTGCGTTCCTTCTTTTTAGTCGTTATACTAGTGGTATTTGTTGAGCTGCTGCTGCTTGATGAGGCAGTGTTAACATTTGTTGAACTGCTGCTGGTCGTTTGTGCATTTTTAGAGTATTCCAATGACTGAAAATGTAGACGCAATGTTAGCCCAAAATCATAAATGGTGGGCACTGCTTTGCGACGTTGTCGATAGGTGTTTATGGTGTGCTTTTGGTTTGTGTTGGTGGAGATGTTAGGTGTGGATGTGCAAATGATCGTTTGGGTATTGGTGGTGGTTTTGGATGTATGGAATGTTTTAGATTTATCGCTTACCAATACACTTTCGCCAGAATATGTGTCCGAGCTGACTGCACTGCGTTTACTATGTGTACGTCGTCTCAGTTGTGGAATAAAACGAGATGTTCGTGAAGTTTCACGCTCTGTTAATCGCTCTATTTTTGAAACGTTGTGCAGGAGCATATTTGTTTGGTCCTCTTGTGACTGTTGTCCAATTGATAATGAACCAGTTGATATTGTCGCTGGTGTATTGCCACTGACGTCTGCTATATCTGGTGTGGTACCACTCTCGAAAAAGTACTCGTACTAAATTAAATGAATGTTTGTTTAATATATTTTTTTTAAATGAACAAGTTTGTTTTTCTTACTTGAGTTACTAGCAATTCTACAATGCGACATTGGTGCTTCATGTCTTTAACAGCTATTTCGAGAGTTTCATTCGGTGTGCGTATTATTGACGGACCAAATATAATGGCCAAGTTCTTTGGTTCCATTAAATTTACATCACAATTTTTACTTACTCGATTTAAATGTCGTATCAAATGTTTCATTGTTTCATACGAATAACGCGGTAGTGATTCAAGTAAGTCTTTTAGCTCTTTCAAGCGGAGTAATCCAGTTTTTTTATCGGCCTCTATGAAGTTATTGTAAAAGGAACTTGGTAGCAAAGCGTCTGGTAGGCTGCGTATAAACAATTTCAACAAGCTTGATACGACATTAACGTCCTCCCACCTAACATCTGTATTGCAACGATCCCAGGAGAAGTCGTTTTTATTTACTTGTTCAGATAGTTCTGAAATAGCTGCCTTATTGCCAGGTATACGATAAATACCAACAACTCCTAAACCCTTAGTTTCCACAATATTTGTACAGACCTCTACAATATTCGGAACAAATTCGTTGCTCTTGGACTGTAAAATTTTATAAGATATTTTTGTAAATTTAAATTATATTTATTTATTATTACCATTGGGCACGTCTTAAGTGGAACTCCAATTGAGCCAGTTGTTTTCGATGTAGATGCTAGATTTGAAGGCGATATATCTGCACTATGACCACCTCTTCTAAAGAGTAAATCTTTCCAATTTTTTGATTTTGGTGAGCCCAAATCTTTATCGGGTACATTTTTATTTGAAGATGATTTGCGCGTTTTCATTACTGGTGAAATAGAGTCTATTACTTCCACTTCACTGCGTGACGTTGAGCTTAAAGGAGAATATTCTGGTTGTTGTACGTTATCATCACAGTATGTTGCAGTTGGCATACTAGCAGTAGCCGCTGTCTTTTGTGGCTCAGCTAGTTGCTTGCCATGAAGATCCTTTAAAATATAAGAATTCATTTAATATATTTATTTTTTTTTAATTTTTTAATTGCGATTTTTACATACATTTTCATCATATATTAAACTATTTTTCCATTGTAGTAAGCCAAAGATTCGTCTCATTTCAGTTTGACTTTTCGTTTTGAATAGAATTTCGGTATATTGCTGTTGTTCCATTTGTGCTTTGGTTGATGTGAGTTTGTCCGGACTCTCATCTATGCTTAAGTCATTACCCAAAGTAGCTAAATGCACAGGTTTTGATTGCATACGAAACATATACTTCTTTTTATCTATAGACTCATCGAAGATTTTAAAATTTTTAATATCGAGTTCTATCAGCTGTAAATAATAAAAATGTAAATATAAAATTTTTTTGATGTACAATAGAATATATTATTTACATTATTATCTGATTTCGATGTTCGACTCGGATATATTTTTAATATATCGCCTTTTATTTCGATTTTAACCTGCCGCCATGATCGATACTCTGATAAACGCTAGAAAATAAAAAAATTGTTAATTCAATTAATATTTGCAAATGTTTCAAAATATAATAAAAAAATGGACCATTAAATATATTTAAAACTTATTATTATAGTCTACCAGGATCTATAAAACAGATACAATGAAAGGATTTACGAAAACATATACCCGAGTTAGAATATAGATGAGTAATGATAATGTGAGAGCGGAAGAAACTGTTTAAAAGCAGAAATGGATTAAGGGATGAGTGGGATTTGAATTGAAGCCAATCTGGAACAAGTCAGAGATTTAAAGATCGATTGGACTCAAATTTGTGTGTGCAAACAACTGTTTAATACATGGCTATATTCTGATGTCATGTCAATTGAGCTAGGATCGTTCTTTCTACATAGGAAAAAATATCTCCTATTGTTTCTAGAAGATATTAGGCAGGGGCCTGTTCAGAGCTTTGTGGCAATGCAATGTTGATCTCGAAAAGTACACTGCATCAGTGTGGAGGGTTGTTAGCCCACTTTTTAGATTTTATCCTATTGATGTTATGTTCTTTGCTATAGGCATCGATATGAAGAAAGGGATCGACGAAAGCATCTTTGAGGGAGGGCTTTGGAAGCTATGAACACAATCTTGCAGTTTGCTAACGACACTTGCATTATATATGCTGACAAAAATGCTAATTCTATTATAAACAATTAATACCTGCGTATTGATAAGATAATAAGTCACGTCCAAAGGTGTTCATTACAATACGTAGTAATCAAAATCCAAGAAAAATAAAAGTCAATAATATGGAAATAGATAAATATTTAGGTTAAACTTTTGACAGAAGAGTGTATCCTCTATCTTGATTAGAGAATATATGGGTCAAGGAGGTAGCTTGTAATATAACTCTAAATGCTCTAAAACCATTAATAGAAGAAAAATTGAGTGTGTAAAATAAAATTCTGCTTTATAAGCAAATTATTAGATCTAAACTACTTTACGTCTGTGCTACTAACGGCTGCATTACCATCCACCATTAGAAAACTTTTAACTTATCAGAACATTGTACTGAGACGCATGCTTAAAGCTCCATGATGCATCAGAAATTGTCTTCATTTCTGATTACAAATCTCATTACACAAAAAGATTTGAAAAATTGTTTAATTCTGTGGATGCGCACACTAATTCAGATATGAACTCTCTCAAATCAAATGTAATATATATTCTGTCAAAAAGATATGTGCACTCCCAAGTATACTTCAATAAAATCACCTGAATAATTTATTACCAGAATTCAATGCAGCTCTTATTACAGTGGATCGCCCAAGTGTTCACACTACCGAGTAAAAGTGTTTTAGACACTAAATTGCGTTTCATCAAACAAAGAAGAAGAGATCGCAAGCGCTAATGGCAGTTATTGTTCTGTTAACTAGACAGTTATTAGTCTATAATGCGATATGGACATCGTTTGACTTCAGTATATAGTTACAATATTAGAGAAGATAGACGTAAGGGTAATATTTGTTAACTATTTATTCATTCGTCAGTTTTTCAATAAATGGTATAATATTATACCACATTTCAATACACTTACTAGAAAATTTATACGTAAAATTCGTCTTTATATGGTATACTTTTAAATATAACCGCATATTTTTTATATAATTACAGTCAACAATTTTAACTAACTATAAACCTATACCCAGCATCACCATTTTCACTTACCTTTCCATAAATACATGATGATTTAATTTCCATTTCAGTTTCGAAGATTTCCATTTCTGTCGAAACATCTTTTGTTTCCGTTTTTCCATTTAATTCTAATGGTACATTTTCAATGTGAACACTAAAATATTTTGTGTAATATTATTTAACTTCCCAAAACTATCTATTAAGCATATTATTAAGCATGTTACCTTTCTCTAATTTCACTGCTCACAGAAGCACGTCTGCTACAACTGACGCCACCGACACTTGCACTCGCACTACCTTTCCGACTTGCACATGCACTCACACTACCACTGCCACTTTCTGCCGGAACAACCGCTTGAATTTCTGCATCAGAAGGAGTACTCTCTTCAACAGCATCGCAATCTCCACTAACAACATCGTATGTAGGATCCGAATCTTCCTCAATTTGTTCATTAGCTGCCTCTGGAACAACACCACTAGTCGATAATGAAGTGTTAGCAGACGATGTATCCGACTGATAATCATTTTCATTATTGGTAGCACGTAAATATGATATGCGACGCATTGGCTTATTATCATCTAGAGCGGAGACTGGCTTTGAACGGCGCACAACTGCACCAGTGCCGACATGAGCAACAGGTTCATCTCCGGCAACAGCTAAAGATAAAAACACAAAACAAAACGGAAATTAAATCGAGTTAGGATTTTTATTCAATATAAATGATATAAATGAAATTAAAAAATTATACCTTTTATACTTGAAATACAGTTGCTCTCCGCTATGTTAGCGAGTGTATTCGGTTTTTCCTTTGCTTCCGGTAATTTGTTTTTAAACTCTGCGTGAGAAAAAGCAAGAAATGAAAGATAAAAACAAATTTCGTTAAAACAATCATTAAACAAGTTTGTCTTTATTATATCAGAAAACATACTGGGTGTCGATGTGTGTTCAATGGTTGTAGCTAAACTGGCTTTGTGTATTTCCATACGACTTATATGTTGTCCATCGACTACGCTGCCGCTATTAGTGGTCTCGCTAACACTCTGGCCGTTATTGTTGCTCAAGTGATGCATCTTTGGTTGTTGTAATTGTGTCTGTTGCAATTGCTGGATTTGCATTTGATGCAATGGATGATGCTGCAATGATTCATAGAGTACGCCAGGCTTTTTCATTAAAATAACATTGCCAGGTGCTGCACTTGACTCAATTGCATTTGTGTTAATTGACAGCGGTTTGAAAGGATCGAATCCTTTTGCCATATGAGAGTTTAATTTACTTTCAAATCTGAAATTAAGTAAAATTTAATTAATATATTTTTAGATCGTAATTAGATTTACAAGAAATATACGAAATCTATGCTATTAAAAAATGAAGCTAATAATTAATTTTTAATAATTATTATTAATATTTCTAACATATAGCGAAAAAGTGTTTATTGTCTATATGTTCAATGGTTATACTTGTCTTTATAATACCGAGATAAATCATGTATAAATCTACATAATACAAAATGTATATATAATATAGAACAAGAGCAGAAAACTGATGTCAAAAGGTTAATTTTTTTTTGTTTTGCTTACTTTGTTTATTATATTTGCGTTCTTTACACTTCATTTTACTTACAAGGAAAAGTAATTAACAAAACAGCATTTAATAATTATATACTTATATATACTTAATTGTATAACTGTTCCAAAAATATCAAAATTATGGTCTAAAGCAATGTTTTTTTAAGTGGATGATTACGATAACGCACTCTTGTGGACACCTCAGCCGTAAAGTGGGGCAATAGGGTTCCAAACAAAGTTTACATTATACAGGTTTGAACTCATGCTAAAATTATATTACAATAATAATAGCGATTGTGATTTTTACAATGTAAAGTTAAAAATTGTAAAGAGGGGTCGCTAAATAATAATCGATTCTCAAAGTGAGCGGTAGTAGACACTATGAGTTTGAGAACCTCTAGCCTAAAGAGTATAACAGATTAGTGTTATACCTCCAGCTCAAAAAGTACCCGGATTTTGTAAATAAAACATACAAATTTAAATTTTATTCGAAATTTATTTTATCTCCTTCAAAATATGCTCCTTCTGAAGCGATACACATATGCCAACGCTTAACCCAATCTTCCATACACTTTTCGTAGGCCCGTGCAGGTATGGTTTTTAGTTCTTTCGGCGAATTCTCTTTTACCGATTCAATCGACTCAAAACGTTTACCACAAAGGGGCAATTTGAGTTTCGGGAACAGGTAAAAGTCGCACGGATCCAAATCTGGCGAATATGGTGCCTGAGCGATGACAGTGGTGCCCTGTTTGGTCAAAAAATCGCGCACAACAAGAATTTTCCATAGTAAAAATCACTAAATGCACTTGAGGTAGTCTCACATTAACAGCTGCTGTAAACAAACTAATTGACAGATGGCGCTCAAATTTGTACCATATGTCAAGAAAGGGTGTGCCAACATAACAAAAAAAAAATTTTGAAAAAGGTTTATTACTTAAGAAGTAGTTAACAAACAACAAAATCCGGATAATTTCTTTGAGCAACACATTTATGGAATATGCCTGATCGTTTTAATCTCCTTTGGTTTATTCATTATTTATACTGGATTTGCATAGTACTTCCATAATTTAGATTATCCTTAGATCTCTATCGGTATTCGAAATATACAATGTTTAGTTGACTACAGTTAGTAATATTTTCGACTTAAGTTTATGTATGATTTGAATGTTAGATTTGCAAGCTGTAAACCAAAACTCCAGTCCATATCTCCAGATTGTCGCAATCATACTATGTAAGAAAAATAATTTCTTTGCAATTGCCACGAGTGAATTTAAACTAAGTAACCAATATAATTGCATAAATTTTGAGCAACATAATTTCTTCTATTCAATTTATGGACTTTTCAGTTATTATTCCTAGATATTTAACTTTCATGCCAGTACGAATTGGATTATTGTCAATTTTTAGTGGCATATCTCTGTACTTTCGATGTGTGTAGGGGTCTTCTGTTGTTTTTTCCGCATTAATTTTCATATCGCATTTTGTAAGTTGTTGCAAATCTTGTCAATATTAATATGCGTAAATGCATCGCTATGCCGTTAGTAAATGTAGCTGTCAATCAGATTATTGATCTAGCTCAGTATGGACTGTTTTAAAGAAGATAGAACTTTCTCGTTTGTCGAAGTAGCTTGGGTTGGTATATATCCAAAAACTCAAAGAAGATCAGGAACTGAATAGTTCAAAGGACTTTAAGAGTGTGGTAGCGTGAAGATGTGATGAGAGTGGTATGATATATCAATGTTATTAGTGAAATAATTCAACTTATTCTAAAAAACCGCATATACTCATAAATATAACGTTCATTGGATGTAGTAAGCAATAGAGTTCGTAGTTCATACTACGGATTCGTAAATCGAGTAAAGAATGTCAAAATTATGTTTTTAGTAATTTTGATAATTACATATGTATAAGTTTCAATGTTAACGACATGATATAGTCTGAAACTCTATTCATAATATCATGCATAGTTTCAGCTTATAAGAGTTAAAATGAACGCATCGTCAGTTCAGATGATTGAATTAATAATTGCATATATCAGGGCTATAAAGCGCATAATAACGCTATCAGTATAAACTGAACTCTCAGACTTTTTAGAGTAATTATAACAAATACCGAACTTAACTATTATGACTTTGTATTTAAAAAAACATTAAACTGACAATTGTCTCGAACCTCTAAACCACACCTCTTTAGAAGTTTATCTGATATCTATCTTTAGTATATAATATATTAAGCCATGAGGTAAATATCATCGATCATAAAATATATACCTATTTAATAGAACTTTTACTAGACAAGCCTTTAAAATAAGCAATTACTGCATACATTATAGTAAAGGCTTTCAATTTGCCATATTATGCATACTTTGTGAGCTCAGTATTCTTCTTCTTTATTCGTTCTAGTGCTGAAACACAATAATCTACTTATTAAATTACAACTATGCAACAGTATAATTATAATGGAATATGTAAGCTGCTTATTGAACTAGACTTAATACAAATTAAAAGATTAATACAATTTTAATAGATTTTATTAAATCTAGAGTAATAGACTTAATACAATCGAAGAGCAGACACAAACAGAACAGGTTGAGAGAATTGAACGTTTAAAATAACGTCGTTTATATAAAATATGGAATCTGGAGATTGGCAACATTGCAGAGATAAAAAAAATCTCTAGAAGTATGCCCGTTTAATAGAATTTTAACTGTACATTTCTTAGAAACTAAATCTAGGTTATAAACGTTATAGATTTTAAAAGGTTTATAACGTTTGAAAAAATAAAATTAATATAAAGCAGCACTATATTTATAAAACAATAGAAATTATAATATAAAAATAAAAATATTGATAATTTAATAATGATAATTACTGGGATACTTTATAGATGAAGATAAGAGTTTAAAATTATATGTTAAATGAAACGAACTTATGAACAAGTCGTGGAAACAATTTATGGATTTAGAAAGCAATTTCTTCATTCAGTCTATTTTAAATAAAAGTAAAAGAATAAGTTTTTTGATACATACACTTTATTGGTGACGCCAGTCTCCTGTAATGTTTCCATATAATCCAACTCCTTACGATACCTATTCAGACTGCTACTGATACCACTGTTAAGTTGTTTTTGACCTCGTCCAACAGTTGTGAGAGTAGTGGAGTTGTTCACTTCATTATGCAAACTACCAATGCCACTAGCACCACTACCAGACGTACCACCATTATTGCGATTTAGCATACTCTCTATAGGTATAAAATTTCCAGATACGTTTTTAATGTAGAAATTGTGCATATCACAGCTAGCAGGCAGCAATTCTCTTGTACTTGAAGCAGATGATGTAGAAGAAGAAAGTGGTTGTTTTAGAAAAGTTCGAATCTGTCCGCGAGGTGTTGCGCTTAGACTTGAAGAACCACCCGAAGTTGATGATGTAGACACCATCGACAATTGTGGACTTCCAGAAGGTGGCGTATGCGGAAAGAAATGCTGTTGCTGTTGCTGTGCCAGTGACGATGCATGAGGAGAAGGTGATTTTAAGAACTCTTCCTTTTGTTTTATGGATTCACGCAGACGTATCATTAAATCACTTGTATCAATGGCATTAGAAGCATAAATTGTTGGATGTTGTTGCAGTTGATGGTGTGATTGCTTATGTAGCGGTTGTTGGCGGGTTAATACTGTTAGATTAGATGGAGGTTGAGAACTGAAAATATAAATCAAGTGATATAGAATTAGTTTAACATATTTATAAACATATAATAAAACGTTAAATTCTATAAATAAAAAAGTGTTTTATTAATCTATCCCTTTTTTTAATTATATTATTATCCCACCTACGACATGGTATATGGCACTTCTGACAAAAACAATTCAAGACCGCGTCAATCGGACTCATCATTTCGTTGGAATTCAGTTCACTACTCGTGCGTTAAATTTAATTGCGCCAATAATATTAAAAAGCGTTAAGCACGCGACAAAAATTAAATGAAAAAAAAACCTGCGACTGACGTTACCAGACCAGGCCATAAAAAACAAAAAGAAAATTTGGGAGCGTCATGCGAATAATTGCCGATACAAAAGTGCAATTGAAAGCTATAGAAAATGTGCAACTATTTCACTTTGCAATCACGTCAATATCGCATTGTAATTACAACGCATTCATTTACGAAACAATTGTGCATAGCCTGACTGAACGACCAATGATCGGTAAGATCAACCGATAATATCGTTGAGCGAAATTATTAAGATATTATTTGGCTTATTTAGCAGCTACCGTTTCACTGCATCTCACTACTCCGTTGCCGAGTAGCAGATCACTCGCGTTAAGTGATGGCTACAGACGTCAGTTTCTATTCAATCCGAAACTAGATTTGCACGCGCACGCTCCTGCAGTACGAATCCACTGCACGGTACTGGTACTGGTACTAGTACTGGACAATCTGTAACTGTGCAACGTAACACTAAGCTTCATAAAACTAAGATCATATGGAGCTGTGCTGTCCAGTACGATCAGTACGATGTGAACGTTCGCGCTTCGAGGGAACACTGAGCACTGAGCAATGAGCAGCACTGTCATATCATAAGCCATGGCCGCCAATTGGCGTGTTTTGCACCAAAAGCTGTGCACAACTCATAGCTTGTTGCTGTTCGTTGCCCATAATGGGGGAGTTACGTTCGACGATAGCCGTTCGCCGATCGCAGCTTGCTCTTTACTGTTTTCTGTTTACAGTGTGCTATTCGACATTCGGCGAACGTATTGTGTGGCTGGAATTATGGAGTAGCCACAATTCCTTAAACAGTAGCACCGACTGGTGTCATTTATTATTATTATGATAGCATTTTGAAATTCGCATTCAAATTCTTCATAAATTGAATTAAATATTTTTTTTCTTTCTCATTTTTGATTTTATTTAGTTAAATTTTTAAGCAAATATTGCTACCAGCCTGTCCCTTGCTATTTGTTTAATTTTGTTTTTGTTTTACTTATTTGTATCTTATATCTATAAAAGGTGAGTAATTTATTGTACGAGGAAAAATTTTTAAACAGTCGAAATGAATGCAAAAAAGTTTCTAATCAATTTCAATGATGTATAAAATGCAAATCATTTAAAGTATCTAATATATACATTAATAGATAACATATAATATTTAAAAAAAACATTTGTATTATTAAAATTCTAACTTAATAGAGTCTTAGAGATTGTCATGATTGGAGCGAAGTTTATTTAGGATTAAATGATATATATTTACTTGACAACTAAATATATTTCTTATTGATCGATCAATCCTGTTAGGTATAATTTACATTGCTACTAATAATAATACACTAGGACAGTTTGATAAGTAGATAGATCATAACTGCACTAAATAAGTTTTAAAATATGGTTTTATAATCTGCCCGTATTTCAGAACTTAAGGCTAAATCACTACTTCGATGAGTAGTAAGTAAAGTAGAAATATTTAAGTGAATTTGTAAAACTTGAGAAATTAATTTTCATTAAATAAAAGTTTTTGAAAAAAAGTTTTGAAACAGAACGAATGGTAATGAAACAGAGGTCATAGGTTATATAAAGACTCTGAATCATCGTAGTGGATTCAACAGTGCTTCACTGAGTTTAATTGTTGTCGTTAAAGCACTTGAAATGAAATCCATAATTTAGTGACAGAAGATGACCGAGCATAGATCTCGGGATTGATATAGATGATATAGTGAAAGTCTCAAATAATATTTTACAAAGGCATTTATATTGGAAAAACTTATTTGGAAAATCTACACGTGCCTATTAAAAAGGTAGCCACCAAATAATAAGTTTCAAGCTGTACTTGGAAGTATTTCATGTACTTTACAGTACCTACATGTACAGTTTTCTCCGCAATTGGTTCCATCGGATTTTTATTAAGTGCAAAATTCGAAAAAATTACTTAATAAAAGAAATCTTAATTTAATTCGAATATAATCTACGTCAATATTTTGAAGAGTTCTATTTTTCAGATACTATTAAAAAATTAGTATACAACGTTTCTAGTAGGTGTATGAAGGTCATCGTGGGTTATGACGAAAAATTCCTTTTATTTATCACTGAATTATTAAACAGCTCTCTCATGCCACTACTCACACTACTTTTATTATGTTTCGGTCATTGCTCATATACCAGAAGTTAATTACATTTAAATTTACTGATTCTATTTCTAGTTTGTATCTTATAGATCCTTTAATGTTGTTGTAGCTCGAGTTATCTTTTCTTCATTGGGTGACCTACTTTATTTGTGTTCTTTACAAACTGTGAAACTTTAAACTGAGCAGCAATTGTATGACAATGAGTAGCTTCAGGATGTAGATCTAGCCACTGCTGGAACCAAACGGTTCTTTCAAGATAACTATTAACAATTGTTAAATTTTTGCGAAAATTTCAAATTTTTTGTTTATTATTTAGAACTAAATAACCGGTAAAAATAATCGCCTTATATGTGTCCAAAAGCAGTTGTAATAATACTCCGTCCAGAGGAAAAAGTCAAAAAAATTTAGAAACGTCGCTGATATTTATATAGCTAACTATAAAGTGATTTTTCGAACAGTAGTGAACTACAACAACAAAAATTCATTTTATATTATTTTAATTAATTAAATTTTTGCCAGACCATACAGCTGTTTCGAGTATTGCCAAATACCCATCAAAATAATTCTTGTATTTTATTATTCGTAAATAATTATTTTTGAGACTGTAAGTACCAGGAATCGAACTCGTGTCCTGCCAAATTTGAAGCTCAGAGTCAGTGCACCTTAACCAATTAACCCAAAGACGTACTTGATTTCTATGTTCGTACTTTATTCTGAAGTTTTGTTACTTTGCTGTGAAAGTTTTATTAACAACTATATAACTATAACTATATAACTATAACTACATAAATATAACTATATAATAAAAACCAATTTATAAGTTTTTATTTTATTTTAAAGATTCACATAAGCCTTTTTTTAAAAATGAAATTTCAAATTATGTCTACATAAATCTACAGAAATTTCTTAAATGTAAATATTCAATACCTAAAAGTGGTATATAAATATTCTCATTACTGTATTACCTTATACGGATCAAAATTTATTATTACAGATAATCGTTTTGAAATTGCAAATTTATTAAAAATAAAAGCAATAAATTTAAATTAATAAAATTAATGCGTAGATAAACAAAATAGGTAGGCTAAGGTGCCTTCACAACTATATACATATTATTTTTCATATGTCATAGTCAGTCTGATATAATATATATATGTAAATATAGATTATATATTTGTTGTATGCACAATTTAATTTTGATAGACCGCAAATAATTGCGAGGAAAATATAAAAAAGTTGTTCGCCTACAGAAGCAAAATAGCATAAAAACGGCTAATAAGAAAAGGTAGTAATAGTGGCAGTAAAAGTCGTATTTGTCGTATTTGTGATCATAAAAAGTAGCATTGACGGCGCGTGACGCCCGCCCTTTTATGTTGTTGAATGCGTGTAGCCCGGAGCTACAATACAAGCACGCCAACAACAAACAATGCCAGCAGTAAAATGTGTCATATAAATTAGCATAAACTAAGCGAGCATAAAATATTGGAATCGGGCATATACAGATACAGATACAGATACAGATATACCACAGAGTCACAACAGAGTGCGATGGTCAGTTAAACTGTGAAAACAAAAACATTTAAAATTGGGCAATTGAAAATTGTTGATGTTGATGTTGATGATTTTATTATTGTCATTTCAATTACACAAAAAGTCATTCAAACTGAATGGAACTGCTATAATTAGAAAAATCTCAACAACCCATTCATTGTACTCATATAAGGAATAGTGAAAATGCCAAATTATCGCCAATTAACTGAAGCAACAAAAGCAGTGAAGTATTTACGAAATAAATTTCGTATTTTTCTAAAATTTCAAATGCTTGAAATGAATCGATGGAGGTAATATCAATCCCATTATTGTTTTCAAGACCCTCCTTAGCGAAAATCCCATGAAACACCAACGATTCGATTCTCCCTGAAAAACCGTTTCAATTTTCCATTCAACTGCTGCAACTCCGTAAATTGGCACTTTACAACAAATGAGTGTTTAGAAAATAAATGACTGATTAAGTTGTTGCAGCAGATACTCGTACGCGAGTATCTGTTGCTGCAAGTCTCGCTTGCAATTTTTATGTTGTATGTTGTATGGTGTCCGTCGTCATGTACGTCACACAGTGGAACAATTTAAGCAATTGCTGCCTGCCACAGCACTATTTACATAAGCACCAAGTCAAGTCAGTCCATGTGGATTTGTCTGCCTGATTGCAAATGTATGTATGCATGTATGCGTATATATGCATGTACATTTTTTTGTATGCCACAAGCACTTAATTAAGAGTTCAACACATTTCATTCGGTTTCGTTGTTGGATTATTGCTTAAATTGCATTACAAATGCAAATATTGTCAGTTAATGTTGTGTAAGTTGGGCACAACAATAACGGCAGCAACAATAACAGCAGCAACAATAACAACAATAAATACAATAACAATTAAAGTAACAAAGTAACAAAAGTTAATTTTACAAACAAACTCAAAACAAACAAAACACATTCAGTCCATTTATCAAAGCGTTCATTGTTGAAGTATGAGGTATGAGAAGAGAGAAACCGTTAAAGCACACAATACTAAAATATAGTAAAAT